TAACAGTTGTATGAGCCCCTAATAAAATGTTAAAAAAAAAATGTGGTGAAGAAAGCGGATGGTGCCCAGCTATCAAAAGATATAGCGTCTGGGGTCTTAAAGGCTTGAAGGAAAATAAGCGGCCATCTAGCTGAGAAGCAACAAAGCCCACAGGGAAGAAGCACACCAGCCTGTGTGATCGTGAGGTGTTGAAGGGATAAGGTATCAGGCACCAAAGAACAAAAAATCATCATCATGAATGAGGGGGAGTGCGAGATGGGGACCCAATGCCCATCTGTAGACAACTGGACATCCCTTGCAGAGGAGTAGTAGGGAGGAGACTAGTCACACAGGGTACAATGTAGCATCGATAAAACACAACTTTCCTCTAGTTCTTAAATACTTCCCCCCGCACCCCCACTATCATGATCCCAATTCTACCCCACAAACCTGGTTAGAGCAGAGGATGTATAGTGGTGCAGATAGGAACTGGAAACACAGGGCATCCTGGACAGATGAACCCCTCAGGCCCAGTGGTGAGAGTGGTGATACCAAGAGGGTGGAGGGAAGGGGGGATGGAGAGGGGGAACCAATTACAAGGATCTACATATAACCTCCTCCCTGGGAGATGGACAACAGAAAAGTGGGTTAAGGGAAGGAATTATCAAGGGTTCGTGCGGGAAGGGGGAGTGGGGTGGGAGGGGGAAAAAAATGAAAAATGAGGAGCTGATTCCAAGAGCCCAAGCAGAAAGCAAATGTTTTGAGAATGATGAGGGCAACAAATGTACAAGTGTGCTTTACACAATTGATGTATGTATGGGTTGTGATAAGCGTTGTATGAGCCCCCCAATAAAATGATTAAAAAACAACAACAAAACAAACCATGTCATATTCTACTTTTCTCACATACATACTTACACAGACTTAGATCACTTAATTTTATCTATAACATAAAGGCATACTTCCTTCAAGGGTCCAAAAACTTCAGTGTGGGAAATACCAGAATTGATTTCAGAGGACTCACTAATTCCAGACTGTTGACAAACGTTGTGCACAAGTGTATGTATACATATGCTGTATATGTGTATATACAAATATTCATAACTTTTCTATGTATATGTGTAATGCTAACATTAAAGTGCTAATCTGGAAATGAATATTAAATACAACGATAACAGTGAGGGACTATGGACTATTACTTTTTCACATTTATAAAAACCATCCACTTGGCGGGGACAAAAAATCTCAGCAGGTAATGGACAAAAATGACAAAAGGAGGAAACTCACTTACTTGGGAAGTCCTTCCCATCTGGATAATAATATTCTGTGAACTCTATATAGACAGCAGACATTTCTTGTGGAAGATACAGGGATTTTTTATTACAGGAAATCATACTTTTAGGGGAAGAACGACACTGGTCTGCTGTAGAGACCTGGAAAAAAAAATGTGTTTATATAACTCATAATGACTAAAGGCTTTTCCAAAGAACGGATGCAATGCAGGCAAGACTTGAAACGCATTCACAACTACTTACAACAATGCCTTCAGGACTATGTTCCAATACAAACTTCATTAGACCTTTTACCTCATAACAAATTATTTTTAAATCATACCTACCAACTAACTGAGAAACTATGTCACTTCTTCAGATACTTTAAAATAAACTTTGAACAATAATCTTTGCAAATTTATTATTTCTGATCCTTAAAATAACAGAAGTGAAAATAGTTTTGTTTATACTTTTCTACGAGTTCAGTTGGTAAGCACAAGGTCAGGAGTTGGAATAACCCAGCCCCTCCATAGGAGAAAGTAGAGGCTTCTGTTCCTGTACAGATTGATCGTCTTGGAAACCCAAAGGGGCAATTTTACTATGTCCTATACGGTAGCTATAAGTCCATCTGATTCGATGGCTGTGGGAGTGCATTTAACCAATCCCAAGTTATGCTATCTTATAAACATTGAATTATAATTTATATCATATTTATGATATGCATCTACATATAAAATTATTATAAGAACAGGGAGTTAATCCTGCCATTTTTCAGATGAAAAAATAGGCTCCAGTGGTTAAGTGATTTGTTGAAGATAATATACATAAGTCCTCAAAGGCAGCATGTCTCTGCAATGTGCTCTTTCTATTAATTTCTTACCATAATTTCTCTTTCCTATTAAAAATAATAATATAGCTATAGATACTGGTCAAATAGTTTAATCTGTTATTTTTCATAAGATGGCCAGTATTAAGGTCCTTGATACATTTTTTTAACTCTCCCTCTAAACAGCTTAATTTATAATTATATCAAAATATGAATCCTGATGGCACAGTAGTTGGCTATGCATTGGGCAACTAATACCAAGGTCAATAGTTCGCAACCACTAGCTGCTCCTAGGGAGAAAGAGAGGCTTTGTACTGCAGTAAAGAGTTACAGCCTTGGACATTCACAGAGGCACTTCTACCCAGTCCTATAGGTTTGCTCTGAGATAGCATTGACTCAATGGTAGTGAGGTTGTCAAAATATACATACGAATTTATCCAATAAGTATTTAACCAATACAATTTTATTGATTTATGCTAGTTTACAAGGCCCAAGGCTCTATCTCAAGATTGTTTTGTTTTTCTGTTTTTCAGTCCTTCAGTCAATAAGCATTTATGTATATTTCTCACATAAAATGAAGTATTTTTCCAATGGCTTATGCAGGGGTAACCCCCCAAACCCAGAATTTTGTCACCACCATCCCCACCCCAAAGCTATGCATTTAAACTTATTTACAGAACGACCTTATCACCTTCAAAGTACTCTCCATTACACTTAATACATTTGTCAAATCTGCTATTCCATTTTTGGAAACATTGTTTCAAACTCATCTGTTTGAATGGCTAACTCAATCATTTCAAAACCACAAATGTACTTAAAATTGTAAATATATGAAACACAATGTGCTAGATATTCTCAATTACAACAATATATTTCAATACCAAAAAAACCAAACTCACTGCCATCAAGTCAATGCTGACTCAGTTACTCCCTGTGGGTTTCTGAGACCGTAACTGTTTACATTTTAAACACAGGAAAGAGTCTTCTTTAATTAACAAGATGTGAAGAAGGAAGCGATTGTCCAAAAATAAATAAATAAATAACTGTTAAATGAGAGCTTCTCAAAATCGACAGATTTGTAAGTAGATAATTCTTTGCTGTGGGAGCTGTCCTGGGCACCGTACCCCAGCCCATCTAACTCTAGAAGCTCCACTGAAACCTGATCAGTATCATAGCCCTGCAAGCTTGCAATGACAGACAGGTGGTAGCTATGTATGAAGTGGAATGGCCAACAACTGAATGCAGGTCTCCTACATGGAAAGCCAGGGTATAAACCATAATAGTACATAAATGAAAATACATGTCTGCAATACTTCATTTTTAATAATTAAAAAATTATGTATGTGTATACACACACGAGCCCTGGGGGCATAGATCTGGCTGCTTGGCTGCTAATTGCAAGGTTAGTTGTTCAAAACCACCAGCTGCTCTATGATAGAGAGACGAGGCTTTCTACTCCTGTAAAGAGTTACAGTCTCAGAAGCCCACGTCCTAGTTGCCACGAGTTGGGAGTGGGAGTCAAAATCGGATGGATGGCAGTGGATTTTTGAGTTTATACATATACAAATATCATTTAAAGAATATATTCTATTCTATTGTTCTCAAGGACTTTGATCTTAGACCAGGTTGCATGATTACAGTTTGAATGACACTGTTAAAATATAAATGGGTTAGGGATCTTAGCTCTAAAATGAAATTCATAGAGAACAAATGGGTATGGCCAATATTTGGTAGTTCAAGAAAGCAATACAAAAGTATTTTTGTTTCTTCCTCTTAAATGAAAGGATAGACCAACAAAAATCCACGAACTGAAGTTTCCTAATCCTTTTAATCTGACCATTTCACAGAACTGGTTGAAGATGTTTTAAAATAATATGGCAGCATGAGCTTAAAAATCCGGTTGTAGGAAGTACTGAAAGTGCTTATGAGAAGATCTATTTTAAAAAACAGAGCATACCTGGTATATATTGAAATCTGCAAGTCTAACCACCACAGAACTAGACATCAACTTAGCTTTCGACTGTTGAGGTAACACTGGAGGTGCTCTGGAAGTGCTTTTCAGAGTTGATTCTTTCTCTGTGGGAAAGAGAAGCTACTTTCAATCTATTGCAAATTTATTTTTAATGGTTATTCTTGTACTATTAAGTAAGCTACTAGAAATACAGATGAACCTTAATTTCTCAAATAAGATAATACTTGTGACAATACATCATTAATATGAAGTGGTTTGGTGCTAAGTCATTGTGGTGATTAGTCTTTATACAGGAATTAATCTTATATCACATTTAAGACATGCTCCTGCAAGACATTTTAGCTGGAATTCTTGTTACAAGTCAGAAACCTACTTAAGAATCTGAAGAATTCTACCTGGACTGTTAAACCCAAAGGTAAGTGGTTCAAACACACCTGCTGCTCCAAAGCAGAACAATGTGGCAGTCTGCTTCCATAAAGATACACAGAGTCTTGGTAACTCTACAGGACAGTACTACACTGTCCTCTAGGGTCACTATGAGTTGGAATTACTGGATGACAGTTGGCATATCATATTTAAAAGTGCATTAGTCTAGAAGTACTATGTACTGTTAAAGGATAATGATAATGATGGATTTGGAAAACACTTGGATGAACTCAGAGGACATTATGCTCAATGAAAGTAGACAATCACAAAAGGACAACTATTTTAGGATAATACTATTCTGAAACATCAAGAAAAGGTTTTCAAACTAAAAGAAATAGACTCCGATGGTTACCAAGTGTGGGAGGGAAAGGAAGCCACAGGTAGACAAGCATTAACTTGGGTGAAAGGGAAGAAAGACTATAAAATAGACAGGAGAGGACACTGGGAGCTTTGCCAGAGTTAAGGCAACAAAGGCAAATACTGTTGTATATACAATCCTGAAATAATGCAAAGCTATGAGTAGATGCTTAGGTAGACATGCAGGTTTTCACACTAAAAGAAACATTCTTTGATGGTTACCAAGGGTGCAAGGGGGAAGGGTAGGGGAAAATCATGGGCTAGAAGGTAGACAAATATTAACTTGAGGAAACGGAAAGGGAATATATAATAAAAGGGGTGTTACAAAAAGATGATAGTGCCAGGTGAAGACACTAGGAGGTTTGCAAAAGTCAACAAAGGTAAATACTTTTATATACATCTTCCTGCCATAGTGGTGATCACGGAGTACATCCTTGGTTAGACACTCCGGCTAACTAGGTACAGAAAGAGTGGGAGCACACCCACGAATACGTACAGGTTGACAGAAGATAGTTCTCTAAGTACAGTTAGCCTGGCTACAAAAATACCCATGAGCACACATGGGGCACAGTTATGAAAACTTTTTAAAGAGAACTAAACACCTTGAGGGAATGAGTGGCTGGGCCCAGCGATCCAGAACATAATCTCACGATATACCAAGGTCAACTAGCATGAAGTACTTCACAAAGATAATGTTCTATATCGTCCTCAGGAGTGGTTGGGGTATGAGAAGCTCATGAACAGCCATCTATTGGTAGTATCTTACATCCAGAGAAACAAAGAATGGCGGAAGTTGAAAGTCACTTGGAAACAATGAGCGCATGGAATAAGGAGCCATACAAACATGAGTGTCTATGACCCTGACGACAGAAGAACTCTGAGTCCTAAGTATCAACTGCTCTGTGAAGGAACACATTAGAAAGTACTCAACAGAGAGCAGGAGCGAACTATGGAACAAAATCAGAATCGTAAGAGACCAGACTTAAAAGTTGGGTAGAGGCCCTTAGTCACCATTCATTCTAGAGTCGAACTTACTTCCATGTTAGAACAATCCACCATTTAATAACAAAAGGGTGTCCCTAAGGACAAAGTTCAGAGGGTTATGAAAGAAGAAATGGGAAGAGAAACTGGGTGAAAATAGGATAAGTGATGGTGCATTACTGGGGTTCAACTGAATAAAATGAAACAAAATGCGTACGAATTGCTGAATGTAAAACTGACAATCTGCTTGGTAATTCACAAAAAGTTATTGTTGTTGTTTTTAAGTGCATTGGTTCACACACCTATGTTTGTCTGAAAGGTGCAAACATTTAAGACATTATTCAACAGAAAATAAATTAGGAACCACACGTGCACACACATACACGGGCACACACCCACACAATAGGGGAATTGCATAATGTTGTCTGTCATAGGTAAATTACCTGTTTGTGCTTGCTGGGGAGAGGCATGTGTTGGGGACTTGGGAGGTGAACCTGCGTTATGATCCTTCACAGCCTGTTTCAGCATTTCAACATTGCATTCAAATTCATGTAACAGCTCGTTGGCCCATCCATTTTTTGTTTTGGTTGCATCACTAAAATACATCCAGTGATTACAACTATCTCCTGTAAAATGAATAACATCTATTAAGCAGAAAAGTGCACAATTCTTATGTATTTTTTATAACAATGATTCCAGGGAGATTTACTCATACAATTAATAATTAATGGAATCAATCTTTTAATGAATTTAAAGCTTTATATACTACCAATTTTCATCATCATAAAAAATATGATCAAAACCTTTAGAAAAGGCGGCAGAGTATAAAATGCAAATAACCTGGAGGGTTTTCTATCTAGAACCAGTGCTGGAAGAACTATCATTCACAGCCTCAGTTGTAGCAGGGCTGGTGGTCAGCCTTCATTGTATGCTCAACGGCCTAGTGAATCAACACTGGGAAGAATCCCAGAAAATGCCACCATAAAAAATGTTTATCATATTCATGTCATGGTATACTTTCTCAAAGATTTGTTGTAACGTCACTTATGAAAGCCTTATCCATAAAATGACGAAATAAGGATTATCTAAACATTTAAGAAAACAATAAAATACAAGATGGACATCAGCTATACGGGGAAGAAACCGTCTAGGGGCCAGTGACCTCCTGTGGCAGCAGCAGCAGCAGGAGGTCCAAGGCCATTTCCTCATTAAGTAACAATACACTGAAAAGAGTTTTAAAGGGAAAATGCAAAATCAAGATGATCATGTTTATCTCTAACAACTAAGAAAGCATTAGGGTAAGTCAAAAAGTGTTACTATGAAATCAGAGAAAACTTTATTAACAAAAATGGGAAGTTATTGTTTCATTTATTTCCATCTCTCTAAACTGCTGGTCTCTCAACCTGTGGGTCGTGATCCGTTTGGGGGTCGAATGACCCTTTCACAGGGGTCGCCTAAGACCATCGGAAAACACACATTTCAGATGGTCTTAGGAACCGAGCCACCGCTCCTCTATCCGTGTCCAGGTGGGTCTGCCCACATGCAGATATGCCCATATCGGAGTACCTGGTGTGAGGACTGTTACCCATGCTACACCATGCTTCAAGACAAAATGTCATTTATTTGTAATTAGAAATAAATAATTCACAATACATAATTACATGTTTTGATTATATACTGATAAAATTACATATTGGTTAATCACTATGCTTTAATTATGCTCAATTTGTAACAATGAAAATACATCCTGCATATCAGATATTTACATGATGAAATTACAGTTATGAAGTAGCAACAAAAAGAATTTTATGGTTGAGGGGCACCACAACATGAGGGACTGTATGAAAGGGTCGTGGCATTAGGAAGGTGGAGAACCACTGCTCTAGAGCCTTCCGCGAAGAATTCTGCACTCTTTGATCTATACTACATCAAAACAATAGTCAAACTGCTCTTTTAAATGTTCTTGGAGTTTGGGGACAGCCCTGACTACCTTCGAAGAGTGAGCAGGTGCATTGTCACGATGAGGAAAAATCCCATGACATAACTCCTCCTGGCCTTTTTCTCACCAATGCAATTTTCAATTTTCTTCAATCTTCTTCATAATAATCTCCTGTGATACTTCCACTGCTTCATCAGCTTCATGAAACATTTCAACTGGTATTCCCTCGATTCCTGAAGTCTTGGTTTTTTTGGCTAATGCTTTCAGTGCTACCTGAACTTCTTCCTTCAGCACCATTGGTTCTTGCTCATATGCTACCTCCTAAAATGTCAACTGCCAACTAGTTTGTTTGTACAGTGACTGTGTATTCCTTTCATCTTCTCTCTCTTTTCCTCCTTCTTCTCTTGCTGCTTTCTGCATCATTCAGTCCTTTGCCCATATATTCTTTCAAGATTGCAACTTTAGGCTTGACTTTTTTCTTTCATTTTAAGATATGCTGAGCATTTTTTCCCTTTTGGTTTTCTAATTCTAGGTCTTTGTACATTTCATTATAATATTTGACTTTGCCTTCTTGAGTTGCCCTTTGAAATTTTCTATTCAGATCTTTGACTTCATCATAACTTCCATTGGCTTTAGCTACTCATGATTAAGCCAAGTGTCAAATTTTTCAAAAAATTTAAATTTATGCAATTAAATTCATTGGATCAGCCGGGTCAAATACATATAAGATAGAGACCTTCAATAGGCAACCACAATAGCATATAGTATAGCCTGTATATATGTCAAGTTCCCATACAGAAATAATAATGTATGAATAGAAAATTGTTATCAGTTATTTATTTTTAAATCATTTTATTGGGGCTCTTACAATTCTTGTCACAATCCATATATAAATTGTATCGGACCTATTTGTACAAATATTGCCGTCGTTCTTTTCTATACATTTACTTTCCATTGAGCCCTTGGGATTGGGTCCTCTGTTTTTACCTCCCTCTCCCCCACCAACCCTTGTGGCCCCTTGATAGATTAGATTGTCATTATTTTCAAATCTCAAACCGACCGCTGTCTCCCTTCCCGTCTGGTTTCTACTCTTCTTCCCCCAGATAGGGGTGTGTGCTTATGTGCCATTCATTGCAATCGGTACTCACCCCACCTCTCCCCTCTTGCCCCTACTTTTCTTTTTTTTTTAGCCCCTACACCCTTTTAGTATCACTATTCCCATTCCTGTTCCAGGGTTCCATGTGTCGTGAGCTTTATCTCTTGCCTATACCTATGTACATGCTCAGAGTGGGAAGCAGCAATGGGGTCATGATAGTGGGGGGTGAGGAGGCCTCAAGGGATCAGAAGTATATTGTGTGATCCATCGGTGCTCTACTGCACCCTGTGTTATCAGTTATTAAAAGCCATGACAACTTTAAATTATATCATTACTTATTGGAAAATATTAGAAAATACAAATAACCTCACATTTTTTAGAAGCCTAGAATAATAGAACCTAGCTAAAACCACTGCTAACTTATTGCTTTATATTCTTTTCTGAATTTTAAATATCTTATAAAATTTCATTTAAAAAGACATGTTGATTAGAAACTTGCTTTTATCACAATTACCTAAATGTCATTAATAAATACCCTCTATGTTCTGGAATTTTTTGTTTGTTTAGTTTTAAGCTAATAATCTAGAAAGTAATCAGTTTCTAATAGCGATTTAAAACGTTCTTAATAATCCACATAAACTTCAATATATATGTATGAAAGTTTTTTCTATTTCAATTTTATTATTTTTTTTTGTAGATGTGCTACTAGAAGGAAATGTGTTCATCTTTTTTCTCATTAACAAAGAAAATAAAATGGTGATATACGTTTATTTTAGGTAACTTTATTGTGGTGTGATTAACGTACAGTAGACGGTACATATTTAAAGTATACACTTTGATATTTAACATAGGAGGGGACTTCACACAGTGCATGGAAAAATTCCATTATCCTTTCATTACATTTTTCCACAAACCTCTTGTTCCACAAATATTTTCCCCATGTAGGTCCCAAAACCATCAGCACAATTAAGATAGCAGATATGTCCCAATCCCTACCTTTCCTCATACCCTTTTTTCATTTCTTCCTCCTGACCCTTTCTCCTCTCCCTTCCTCAGATAACCACTGATCTATGGCCATGCGATTTTAGACAGATCGATCTTCAGGATCTGATGTACGTACCTGCTTTGTGATAAGGATAATAATCCACAGTTAGCTGTGCAAAAGAGAGTTGCATCGCTCCTCCAGTAATACGTCTGTTTGACTCTGGCGGGGGGGGTGGGGGGGTGGGCAGAGCAGAGAGAATTTAGAGAGGGAAAGAAAAAAAATCAGATTTCTGAAACTCCAATTCATCATAGAAAACCTTTATCATACTTGGAATCTAACTAGTAATTAATACCATAGAGTCCAATAAAATTTAAGAAAATGCAGTTCAGTCCAATAATTATTTAATAAGCCCCAATTATTTGTCATCATCACTCATCTGTCAGTTTGTTGTACTGTGGTGGCGTGTGTTTTATTAAGATGCTAGAAACTATGCAGGCAGGGTCATCACAGGTGGAAAATTTTTAGCAGAGCTTCCAGACTAATGCAAACTAGAAAGAAAAGGCTGTCTACCCTTTGAAAGCAGATCACCAAGCTTGAGTCTCAGGTTGAGTTTAAACCACCAACCTTTCAGTTAGTGGTTCAGTGTTTTAACTATTCGTGCCAGTCAGGGACTCCTGATGGTCACAGAACTATAGTAAAATTAAGAGTGGACTATAAGTAGTCAATATAACCCTCATTTTCACTGACCCTCTACTTTACCAAAGACATTCATTTCGATAGCTATACACACTCTTCTGCTATAGTAATCTGTTAACACCAATTAATCTTAATTAGTAGAACTCATAATACAGATCCACAATCTCTTATCTAAAACTTTTAGAGACAATTAAAGGAATTTTTAAAAGGCAAATTTAATTAAGGTACATATATAGTGTCTCATGGAACAGGGCCAGCCCATTCTAAGACAGAATTAAAGTAGTATTTCTGCAATGAGACACAGCAAAATTTATAAAGAAATAGGAGTATGTTGAATCATGTCAGGTTTTCCACAATTTTTTTTGAAAAAACAACTTTTTGTGAGCTTTTTGGATTTCAGAATAGCAGCTAAGTGCCTCCTATAAGGGAGATACTTTGGTGGAGATGTTCTCCCTAAATACCATCATTCAGTGTATTCTGTGGGATTGAGTGAGGAATGCAAAAGAAGTTGGACAACACTCTCTGGGTTCTGATGGTTATTACTTACCCTCACATTGTTATTTTGGTTTGTTTTAACCTTTTTGGATTTTTCCTTTCAAATCAAAGTAGATGCTAATGCTAAGCTCAGTCACCTAATGATGGGCAATGGAAAATATAGCAAATCCTTCTGCAAACCCCAGATCTTCCTTACTTTCTCCATATGCCCACTGCTAAATATCCAGGATCTCAATATTCATTCTCTCAGCTTTAAAATTCCCAAGAAATACAACTATAGAGACTCTGATTCAGGCACAAGGTACACAAGTCAGGTATCTCTACTTCCAAAAGATGGTTTGATTCTAAAACTCCCTAAATCTGGAGACTCCCAAGAGAGAAGTACTTGTCTGGTGTGCTGGTGCAGTCCTACATCTGTGGATCAGGCACACTGGGAGGCCAGCAGGGAGAACCACCTGGATTCAAGAACCGTCTATTTTCAAAGTGATCAAAGCAGTGTTCTGTTTACTCAGTTACCCGATACTACTACTAAGGAAAAACAAAAATGCATAAAATCTTTTAAAAAGAAAAAAAGATCATGACTTCTGGGGAAAAAAAGAGTACCAGAGAAAATGACGCCCCCTTCCATTCAACAAGAAGGCCTGGTGGTGAGTGGTTATGTTTGGGCTACAAAATGCAAAGTCAGCATAAACCATCAGCTGCTCTGAGGGGTACTCTAAGAAATAAAATAATTGCCCAATCTTCTTTCATGATAGAGATGGGGAAATCACAATTAAAATAGCAATTCAAGTTCAATACTACCTAACATATGAGAGGGCTTCAAAAAGTTAATGGGAAAATTCCATTATCTTTTCATTTCATTTTCCAAGAACTTTTTGAAGTGCCCTTCATATAATAGGATAAGAGGGTAACATGCCAATGAAGTTGGGCATACTTCAGAAATGTAACAGTTTCCTAAACCTGATAAAGTGTAGCTAGCAACCTATAGCACCTCCCTTAAAATATTTCCGAGACCAGTAACACAGCAGATATCAACATCACTTCTACTAACATCACACTCAAACTTGTATACAATAAGCCAAGAAAGTAAAACAAAAGACATAAGGATTAGAAGTGAATTAAAACCAAAACCTCCCTGCTGTAGAGTTGATTCTGACTCAAAACGGCCCTACAGAACAGGACAGAACTAACTGCCCCTATGGGTTTCTGAGCCTGTACTTATAGCAGAAAAGCTCAGTCTTTCTCCCTCGGAGATGCTGGTGGTTTTCAACTGCTGACCATGCGGATCGCAGCCCAACGCATAACCACTTCACCACCCTATAGGACAAAGTAAAACTTAGAACTGCCCCATAAGGTTGCCAACACTATAAATCGTTATAGAAGCAGAAAGCTTCATCTTTCTCCCGAAGAAGCAGGTGGTGGGTTTGAATGACTAACCTTGCACCCAATAATCAACCCATTACATCAACAGGGCTCCTTACTCATCCAAAAGATACTATTAAAAGAATGAAAAAGCTAAAGAAAATAACTGATATAATGGGAATGCAGGGGTGGGGGTGGGGGCAAACGGGAGGGAAAGGGGATTTAGGGAATAAATAATGAAGACAGGAGGGGGCAGGGAGCACTAGAACTAACTGTGATTGCACAACTCATTTTAAAGGCAATTTAACCAATGGCAGGAGGAAATGTTCCAAAACTGATATAGTGTGACGTACAATGCCTCTTGATTGAACTACTGAATTGAAGGATATGCAAATTATGGGGCAATAAAACTGTTGGGGGATGAAAAGGCAAATCAATGGGGTGGGGGTGGGGTGGAGTACATTATATATATTTTTAAAGAATTAGTATCCAGAAATAAAGAACTATGACTCAATTAAAAAATAATGGGCAAAGAGGATATGCTAATGACTGAAAGTGTATGAAAGGGGATTCAACCTCATTACATATCAGGGAAATCCAAATTTCAATCACAATGATATACTACTATATCAGGGTGCAGTGTAGCAACGATGAAATATACAACTTTCCTCTAGTTCTTAAATGTTTCCTTCCCCACACAATCATGATCCCACTTCTACCTTACAAATCGGGCTAGACCAA